GGCATGCGGAGTCTACTCCTCACGTGACTGAATTTGGCCAATAGCGGTGCCGCGCGTTCCAGGCGCGTGGCGTGCTCAAATGCAGGGAAATGTATGCCGGGGCGTGCGCGACATCTTCTTTTCTGCGCGACACTTGATCTGGCTCCCCACGTGATTGGATCTCGGCGAATAGCGGCGCGGCGGCACGTGGAAAACAGACGCGCAACTCTGGCTCGCATAGGGAGCCTATACAGGAACTCTAGTGCAGCCTAAAGCCCCTTGATAAAGGTGTTTTTTACAAGTACCGCCAACCACTCTTGTTGAAACGCGCGAGATACGTGCCATGCGCAAGTGCTCTGCCACCATTCGCTTCCGAAGGCCGCTCATTTCAGTGCTGCACTGCCATTTGCTTCCAAGGGCCGCTCGAGACACGGGCCACATGCGCTCGCGCATTTGACGCAACTTGCAAAACAAGGGGCTTTAGTGCCGCCAGCGTGTTGATAAAACTAACCGCTGCAAGCCCATGCCACTACAGGCCCCGCGCCGGTTAAAACGGCACGTTAGCATGCGCTCGGAGGCTTCTGCTCGTCTCGTCACCGACCAACACGCTGTCCCCGCCATCATCCAGATCGTCAGCGGTGCTTCTGCTTGTCTCGCCGCCGATGAACATGGCGGCGACCCTAGCATCCACATCGTAAAAGGGGCTTCTATGCTTTCGTATTCACAGCTCATAAGAAGTGCTTAGGTGTACCTCGAGCTTTTCTTTCTCGTTAGTTTATACTGCTGCCGAATACAGCATGTTGCGTTTTCACTTGTAAACTGTATGGTTGTGTTTCACAGCAAAGCTGTTATGTGCTAGGATCTGGTAAAAAATGCAACCGCAGATGTTGACAGAAAACTCCCCACTGGTTGTCGCAAGTATGAATAAATAATAATAAAAAGAGAGGGCAACCAGCATGAATCAGCCTTCCTCGGCATTACTAGATAGTGAGGTCCTGATCCCTTGTTTAAAAACAAATACCTCCGACTTGCATAACAATACCAACAATTTATAAGAGTTTTCGTCTCGAGGTCATCCTAGAAGTCGTCCTCGAGGTCGTCCGAGAGATTGTCCAAGAGGTCATCCTCTAGGCGTTGTCTTCAAGGTTGTCGTAGAAGTTGTCCTTGAGGTCGTCCTTGAGGTTGTCCTAGACGTCGCCCTCAAGGTCATCCTGGACGTCGTCCTAGAGGTCGTCCCAAAAGTCATCCTCAAGATCGTCCAAGAAGTCGTCCTTGAGGTAATCCTAGGTCGTCCTAGACATTGTCCTCTAGGCGTCATCCTCGAGGTTGTCCTAGCAGTTGTCCTTGAGGTCGTCTTAGATGTCGTCCTCAAGGTCGTTCCAGAACTCATTCTTGAGGTCGTCCTAGAAGTCGTCCTTGAGGTTGTTCTAGATTTCGTCCTTTAGGAATTGTCCTCGACGTTGTAAAAATAACAGCTTCGCTGGTCCTCCATCTTCATGTGAAGTGGAAGGGCTCTACAATTTTTGTTTGTACTACAAGGTACATTACAAACCTTTGTTTGTAATTCAACAAATCAGTAGATGTCCTTTCTAAAATTTCATTCAGATAGGCTAGCCATAACATAGTGAGTTCCTCAGGGCAGCATTTTAGGCCCATTGTTATTTATTTTGTACATTAACGACATTGTAAACGTGGCTCAAAACAGTGGTGTAAAACTGATTAGTTACGTGGATAATACAAGTATTTTTTGTTCACATTACTATGTAAGTACTTCTATCGACACAATTCAAGAAGTTTTAAAGAAAATTACCGCCTGGACATCCAACAACAAATTGAAATTGAACTGTAGAAAAACCAAAGCTATTATTTTTAAACCTAGAAATAAAAGGATAAATGTTCCACTTTACCTTACAATAAACAATGAAAAAATTGAATTCGTAAATTCTTTTAAAATACTGGATGTGCGCTGCGGTCAAATACGTATATAATTGCGTTAAACTTTGCATGCATTGGCTCAACGTTTATACACGAGAGGGTGCTGTGGTCAAATGCCCAAATGCGTATATATCCACGTTCCATACCACACATTCTCTTTCTGACATGGATGAAAACGAACGAAAGGCTCGGCATGCTGCGGCTCACCGTCTACGCAGACAAGCACCACCAGAGCTTCGCCCCAATCAACACCATTCACCACGTAAAAATGCGGTAAATTTTTTTTTTTTTTTTTGTATTTTTTTTTTTTTTTTTTTGCTGTCACGAATGCGCTGAAGCTGGGACCTTCATCAAGCTGCTACTCAGCAGCTTTTTGTTTGAGTCCCTTGTTGTCATGTAAGATGATGCGACAACCAATAAATTTGATTTGAATAGATGTGGTCCAAGCAAACAATACTTGCAGCCTGATAGCTGAGGCTGCACTTTTAAGTTTTTTTGTTTCTTTTCATTCCCCATCACTTAAGAGGCGATGCAAGACATTTGTTTTCGGAAAGTGCCTGAGCCGCCTGCAAGCAAAATAATATCCACAAGTATCTTGCACACAAAGAATGCCATAACAGCAAAGCCATAACTGTATCTTAAAGTGTTACCGAATTAAAGACGTGACAGCGAAATTCAAAGTCCATTGCCCCAAACATTTCCAGAATCCCTGAACAAATACCGTAAAGTTCCAAAAGAACGCCCACCCAAAATGAACAGATAAATGGTGAAAAATATGGGGTGGGCTATCTTTGGGGACGCCACAGCAAAAGTTTATCAAAAACCGGCCACAAAACACGTGATGCGGGAACTGATACCGCAAATTAGCGTTTCACGATGCGATAAACACGTAGGAATTCGCTACAAACTCCTGTGTCACGGGAGAGGATACCGCAGGTTGCGGACGCAGCAGATTCGCGTTTCACGGTGCTAAGGACCCGCGAAAATCGGCCGAGAACTCGCATCTCACGGGAACAAATACCGCAAATCGCGGAAGCAGCAGATGCAAGTTTTATGGTGAAATAAACACGCGGGAACCCGCTACAAACTTGTCTGTCACGGGAACCGATATCGTGCACGCAGATCACAGACAAAAAGGCAAGAATCCGCTACAAACTCGTATGTTACGGGAACAAAAACCGCAGATCGCGAACGCAGCAGAATCATATTTTACGATGCAATATACACGCACGACCAACTTGCGTGGAATCGAGATCGCGCATGCAGATCGCGGACGAAAACACAAGAATCTGCTAAAAACTTTATGTCACGGGAACGGATACCACAGATTGCGGACACAGCAGATTCGCATTTCACAGTGCAACATACACATGGGAACAACTCGCATGTTACAGGAGTCGCTATTGCGTGCACAGATCGCGGACAAAAACGCGGGAACCCGCTATAAACTCGCTTGTCAGACGTGCCGGTACAGCAAATTGCGCGGTTGATGCTATTTCCGTCGAACATTGCGTGACATCCAACGGTAATTGGGGGGTGGGCGATGTTTCGGAATTTTCATGTTGCAGATACTTAGCCAGAAAAATGGGATGGGCAACCTCTCGGGTGTGGGCATTCTCTCGGTACTTTACGGTAGACTTTTTGCTGAATTACTAACTCCGAGAAGAACGCTGGGAAAAATAGGTACATGCACTGCATACGCTTACCATATCAGCATAAAAAATTTTATAATCTAAATAAGTTGTTGATGAATGCACGTGATCACGATGATGATGATTAGGAGCTTAGTAGCACAGCAGCAATGAAGGCTACAGTTCTCTAAGCTAAACATACTTGGATTATACTAAAAATATTATCAATTCGGTGCTAAAGAGGTATATAACGTTTGTAATATACCAAGTCATTGCCCACCCCCCTGCCGCCTGAAATTCATAAAAAAGGGGTGGGCCATGTCTCGGTGGGTAAGCGCAAGGAGTTTAGGAAAAGCTAAAAAAAACGCTCATTTTTCTGTACATATCTAGCATGGCTGCACAAGAGATCCATTAAGCAAAATGGAATTAGTTTTTGTTTTATGCAAGAAATACTCATGAAAGAACATTTTACTATCGCAAAGTTCATTTCTTCCATACGCACAATGAACACTATCCATCAGCATTCAGCGCGAACGTTTGTTCTGCAAAAGCACGTTTCTAAAACCGCTATGTTCTCTTTGTCTACAAGAAAAAAAAGACTACAAGAAAATAAAAAAATCAACCAGATGCAACAAGCGAGCAAGAAAGCCGGCGATCGCATTGGCAAATACTTTGACGTCGTGCCAAGTTGGGTGCCTTGTCAATCACAAGGAGGAGGCTCTTGCACAACTTTCTTGTTTGGTGCATACATGGCTGCGTCCGTGCACAGTATGCTATCGACGCGGGTTGGCGCGGTAAATGATCGACGTACTGTCGAGACCGGTTATAACGAAGTCAACGGGAATCCCAAATCACTTCGATATACCCACTATTTCGTTATAACCGACTTCAGTTAACGAAGTGCAAAAGGGAGTGGGAAATCGTGATCGCTTCGCTGTAGCCGCTATTTTGTTATAACCGACTTCGTTATAACCGGTCTCAACAGTAGTAGATGATAAGACATACAATGCCATAAAATGTGTAAGTAAGATAATCAAAAGTTCTCCACTTGGTAGCATAGCGTAACGTCTTCACCACTGCTTATTCTCAGCCGGCACAGGAGGACCTCCATGCGACATTCCCCGTTAAACACCTATCCTAAATTCCCAGACAGACTCGATAATGTGAAGACTGCAACTGCCATGTGTGAAAAAATAGCTTTCTTTAAAGGTGGTTTAAGACCCTGGTGGGGTGACAAACACATATGCAAACTGCTATTTGTTTTAGGCTTTTGCTTTGGAACAGCTACAGCTGCAGATGCCAGCAAGTGACACACTTATAACTGCAGTTGCAGCATGCACCTTGGCGTTCAAATAACTTAGTAAAAGATCTACAGGTTACTCGAACCAGGTTCGCAAGGAAGAGAGCCGCACAAGAAGGGTTTGGTACCAGCCAGCTGAAGAGCAGAGTACCCACCTGCGAAACTGGGCCTCGTCTGCTTTGTGCAGGCGCAGCAGGCAACCCTGGGCTTGTCGACGCACCGTCTCTGCGCTCGATGACCGGTGGCCCTCCCCGCAGCCGTGGGGGCAGCCCAGGTGCTTCATCACCCTGCGGGGGTACATCAGGGTCCCTTCGCTTCGGTGCACACCACCAGGATGTGGCAGAGCCAGCAATGTCAAAGGTGTGCAAACTCTAAGTCAGTGGCGTTCAAATGGGATCTGCGGACCGCTTGGGTTCCTGAGAGCCTTTTTGGGGTCCTTGAAGCCCTCAAGCGTTGGTCAAGCTGAGCAACAAAACTTTCTTTTTTATCGCTGCTGGCTGCCCCAAAAAGCCAAAAGATCAAACCATGAGCACCGAGCAAGTAGGGTAGATTATGCACCATTTCATAGTTAGCTTGTGCACATTTGGCTTTCTTCATTTATCATTTTGTCATTGTAATCCTCCAATACTCCCAGGGGGGGTAAAGACGGGAGCAGGATGCGACAAACCGCAAGCGCTGGCTTCGGTGGTCCCAAAAGAATGAACAAGAAAGAGAGTGAAAGAAGAGCAGACGATAGGTTAGGCGTGTTCGTTAGGCCATGACAAGTTGAAGTTGCTCGACTGCTTGCCAACTTTATTTTATTTTCAGCAATGCGCGACGCCGGTGCTTTCGTGCAAATTAAAGCTAGAAAAAATTAGGTGCAGAACTTGGAAGCAACGTTTTCCTGCTTCGTTGCATATATCAAAGCGTCGAAAGCAGTACACTCCCGTCAGGACCACCGAAGTCCGCGTCTATGCCCCGTTGCTCCGAAGCAGCATAAATGCATGGGACCTAACATTATGAATACCTTTCTCCCCCCTTGCTAGATGGGGTCCTCTATCACTTCCGCCTATCCAGAAGGGGTTCCCGAAACGTCAGTGGTTGAGAGCCACTGGAGTAAACGAACTGAACACTACATAATGTGCCAAGAGATGCCAAAGGTAGTAGATAAGGGAGAAGTTAGCTAGCTTTTTGTGTGCCACCCCCCCCCCCCCCCCCCCCCCTCCCCCCAAATCCCTGCTTGAAAGAAGCCGAGGAGAAATGTTTGACTTAATCTCTCGTTCGCTGATTTTTACATCCGCTGCCCCAGACTATGCCATAAGTATCATATTATTTACAAAAAGGCGACCTTTGCCTATTTAACTGCCTTCTGCATTACCGGAACAACACTCGTCGAAGCATTCCGACCCCGTTGCAGAAATCACCAATCCCAAGTAATCCGATTTCTAGGTAGGGGCTGACTTCTCGTGTAATTTTCTTTTCCAGGCGACAAAAATGCGGAAAAAACAGGGCTGAGCCATATCTGGAGGTTGGAGAATTCTACTGCCGAGTCTTGTTTTCTATATTTTAAGCCCCAATAAACAGACATCTTGCCGACATCGAAAGCAGGCCCCAAAAAACATGGAATCTGTGGGACAAAGTAAGCCACGAAAAAACCCACCCAAATTCAAAGCAAAAATTGGCTGCTGCATTTTAATCTACCAACAGAACCGTCATATGTAGAATTCCAATGCACAAGAAACAATAGGTTTTCATGACGTTTTTTTATTAACACACTTTGATTAACCATATGATGTGATGTGTTGTGCAATGTCATATTGTTGAGTTGTGATGTCTCGTTGCATGGCAGTGTCATGCGACGTCATGACTTTAAGTGATCCCACGTTACACGACATGGTCACGTGACATGACATCGCATTACACGTCTAGACACCCAAGGTTATTAGGTTCGATAACATTGCTGACACAGTGATGCAATGAGACACAACTTTGCAATGCAAGCAACGCGACGCCGTGACGTCACAGTCACATGATGTGCCATGCACGCCACAGAAGTATACAAATTCTCACTTAGCTTCTATTAGAATGCAATTCTGTATTAAAAATTACAGGACGCTTAAGCTTTGCCTTTAAGAGTGTAGAGTGGTAACTAAACATATAAAACCCTGCTCGTTCCAAAGCCATGCAAGCGTGTCTGCATGGCCTAGTGGGTAGTGTGTCTGGCTCGCAACCAATGGGTCGTGGGTTAATTCCACCTCCACCTAAAATTCTTCAAATATTTTTCGTCCAGGCAAATAAATTACTTTATAAGGTGAAATCATTTGAGGCATGCGGAGACCTTTAGTTTGCATTACATGTCATGTTTTAATCACTTTCATTCCACACGTGACGTCATGTTTCACGTGAGCGTTGCGAGTTGTTTGAAATTCCCGTGCGAGGTCATATGGCTGTGATGTCGTGACTGTGGCCAGTGGCATCGTCAGAAGCATGACCGACAAGCAGCGCCGCCAGCCCTCGGCAGTGGCAACCAAAAGCGCGCCAATAAACGCCATTGTTCTCTCAGCAATCACCGCGTTGGGTGGTCCCTACCCGCGGTCTACATCAACGAGGAGTAGGAGCTGTCATCCTGCAGAATGGACACCCCCTGGCCTACTCTTCTCGCTCACTGACTGAAGTGCAAGAGAGGTATGCACAAATTGAAAAGGAGATGTTAGCCATTGCGCATGGATGCACTCGCTTCCACGACTACGTCTTCGCTCAGCCGTGCATCCTGGTGGAAAGTGACCACCGCCCTCTTGAGGCGATCTTCAGGAAACCACTTCACCAGTGTCCGCTACGTCTGCAAAGAATGCGCCTGACTCTTCAGAAGTACTCACTTGAGATAAAATACAAGCCGGGAAACGAGATGTTCATTGCAGACGCCCTGTCTCGGTTCCCATCGAAAGAGAAGGTGCCAGAGGAAGAACACTTCCAAGTGAACGTCATCCAAGAGCTGACTGTCTCTGCAAAAAGACTTCAGCAGATCAAGCGGGCAACAAACCAAGATGAGAATATCCGTACCCTGAGGGAGTATGTAAGCACGAAGTGGCCAGAAGACAAAAATGCGGTCCCCGAACAAATCCGAGTCTACAGGCCGTACCATGATGAGATCCATTCGGAAGACGACCTCCTCTTCCAATCAAACAGGCTGATCATTCCAAGCACAATGAGGAACGAAGTCCTAGACCTCCTGCATGCAGCCCATGGGGGTACAGAAAAGATGAAACAACGTGCCAGAGACGTCATGTTTTGGCCTGGAATGTCAGCAGACATCCAAGCCCAGGCGAAAATTTCTAACTGGGACCAGTTGGCACCTCAACTGGTTTCAACTGGGACTAACTGGTCCCAACTGGGAATCAACTGGGACCAATAGGAGTCCAACTGGGACCAGCTGAGGGGTCAACTGGTTTGAACCATTCCCAGTTGGGAGTCAACTGGTTTGACTCCCAGTTGGGAATGGAGTGAACTGGAACCAGTTAGGAAAGTAACTGGTTGGAGCGATTCCCAGTCGGACTTCAAATGCCTTTCCCGTTCCCAGTTCACACTGGGCAACAATTTGGACAAGTTGGGGGTGTATTGACCTTTGCTAATGAAGAAAACTAAAAACACTAACATTTTTAGATTTATACAAATAGGAAATTTTTAATTACTGGGGTACATTTATATATTTATAAAAATAATATAAAAATTTTAATTAACTAAATAATTTTTAATTGGAAAATATAATTAGTGACAAAATGTGTTCACCTAAATGAACATTTAGTGCATTATTAAAATATATTAAAACATTTATTTAAATACCTACAGTATTTTTTTTTCTTTTAATAAATAAATTTATCTTTTGACTAATCAGAGCTAGCCGGCCGCCGTGGCACGCGGGTGCGGATTAGTGGTACGCGCTGTCGACAGATGGCGCTGCCTATGCTGACGCCAGAGTCGGACGGACGCGGTAGAGAAGGGTCGCCATCGCCCAAGTTGGCGTCGTTATGAAAATGTCATAACTACAGCTGTGCTTCTTTGTACCTAACTGTACACACACCACGGTGGCGGCGGTGAACTTCGAGGATGAAAAGATGCAGTTCAGCGATCGGAGGGCACCCAGGAAAGACCGGACGGAAGAGAACACGCCGCGGAGAGCACAATGGCGAAAATGGCGGGAGGTCTACCTCGAAAATGTTCGACTGTTGTGACAGAGATTGCAAGGTGGGAGCGCTACCGCATCTTATCAGGACTTCACCTGCGCAACGCAGGATCACGGGTGAGCACCTTTCTTCACGCGATGGGAAGAGAAGCTGAGGACGTCTTCACTAACAGACGCCAGCGGCCGATCTTCCTTCATCTCATGAACACCACCTCTGAAAAAGCGATTCAACCGTCGCAAGCAAGTGGCTAAACCCGGAGCGTGTACGTCACCGAACCTATTTAGTTTCATTCTCCAAGTTTTTGACAATAAAGTTTTGTCGACCTTCCATTTTGTGCCGTGTTTCATTGTTGCTGGAGTTGGTACCAACTCCAACTGGGACCAGTTGTAACTGGGACCAATTCCAGCTGGGACCAACTCCAACTGGGACCAGTTGCAACTGGGAATTGTTCCATAAACCAGTTGCAACTGGGACCAACTGGTCCCAGTTGGACGACTCCAACTGGGACCAGTTGCAACTGGGAATTGTTCCATAAACCAGTTGCAACTGGGACCAACTGGTCCCAGTTGAAAATTTTCGCCTGGGAGAGAAAGCGGAAAGATGTGCGCTCTGCAGACAACACAAGCCCAGGAACCAACGGCTGCCAATGATGAGCCATGATGTCCCAGAACTGCCCTGGCAGACAGTTGGCATGGACCTTTTCCACCAAGCAGGAGAAGAGTATGTGATCATTGTGGACTTTTATTTGTTTTATTTCGAACTTCGACACTTGAAACACACAACAACATACGTGATCATCGTGGACTTTTATTCGTTTTATTTCGAACTTCGACGCTTGAAACACACAACGGCAAATGCTGTCATAAAGTTCTGCCAAGAGGTCTTTGTTACGCATGGTCTTCCCCACAAGCTGATCAGTGATAATCGGCCACCGTTTAACAGCCACAAGTTTGCCGAATTCATGGAGCGCTGTGACATCATCCACGCGACGTCAAGTCCACACTACCCCTGTTCAAACGGAATGGCTGAGCGAGCCGTCCAAGAAGCAAAGAAGCTTCTGAGCAAGACTCCCTACGACACGACAGAATTCTACAGCGCCCTGTTGGAATGGAGGAACATGCCAAGAGACAAGCTCCTGCAGTCCCCAGTCCAGCGCCTGATGGGAAGAAGGACAAGGACACTGCTGCCGACGCGCCGCAAGCTTTTAGAGCCTGAGACAGTGTCACCCCAGCAGGTGACTGCAAAACTTAAGGAGGCAAGCACCAACAGACCTACTACAACCAAGGTACAAGAAGTCTGGAGCGTTTGCACCCTGGGTCGACGGTCTCAGTGTTTGACAGTCGGACCTCTCAGTGGTCGCCAGCAGTGGTAGTGACAGACGACCCTGCACCCAGATCGTACATCGTGGCAAACGAAGATGGGCAACAGCTTCGTCGCAACAGGGAGCACATCCGCTCTCATAGCCCCACAACGACGACGCCACAGCCTTCGGGACCCCAACCTATGGCACTACGGAGAAGCTCAAGACAGCCCCGCAAGCCATGTTGCTACATAGAGTGTGACTGAGCAAAGCTTTAGCTCCAGATTTGTTTTTCTTTTATTAAAGAAAGGGAGATGTGGCCAGCGGCATTGTCAGAAGCATGATTGACAAGCAGTGCCGCCAGCCCTCGGCAGTGGCAACCAAAAGCGCGCCAATAAACGCCATTGTTCTCTCGGCAATCACCGCGTTGGGTGGTCCCTGCCCGCGGTCTACAGTGACCCTATCAACCAATCAGGATTTTCCCGTCCTACCAACGCCAGCTTTTGTGTGAGACAAGCTTCTTAAAGCTCCTTAAAGCTGTCACTTTAAAAACTGATCAGTGACCCTTACTTTCAAAGTTCAACAATGCATGAAATGTAGTATTTAAGGAGAAATTGTTTTAAACTCCTTAAGAAACATTAAACAGTCATATCGGCAAGTGAAGAACATGTTTACTAAATTACCCGCTCAACTTAACAACAGAGAAACAATGTGACCGCAGGTTACGTGATGTCACATGATCTGACGTCACATGACGTTATAGTGTCACATGACACCAGAACTTGACAATGTGACGTCACAAAGTTATGGTGTCACATGACATCAGGACTTCACAATGTGATGTCACATGACGTTATGTTGTCACATGACACCAGTACTTTGCAATGTGACATCACAATAAGACATTGTGATGTCAAATGACACCAGGAGTCGACAATGCGACGTCACATTACGTTGGGTCATGTGACATCACTTTTCCCACTAAATCTGGTGGGAACCTGATGTCACAGTATCAAGTCGTTGTGTCGTGTGATATCCTGACATCATGTGATGTCAATTTCCCTGCTAAATTTAGCGGGGAAATGCCTGGACAAATGGACAAACAGATGAAGAGAAGGACGGACGGACACGTTTTTTGGATTAGGGGGTAGTATAATAGTATTTTCCGGACTTGCTTGAGGACTATACACGTCTAAATGTTGAAAACTGATGCGATGAAGACTATTTGCAGGTGCGGACTATGCAAGGATTTTCTTTTCAAGGTCGCTCATTATGACAAGACAAGACGGATTTCGTGATCGACAGATTATAATGATGGTTTCTGTATGCTAAAAGCTTCTTTGTGCGCTAATAACGCAAGTATTTTTTTAGGTGTGCTGTGTATGAGAGTGTTCTTATGTGCAAGCTATGCATCAGGTACAGAGAGTCTAAGGAGAAGCCTTTTCTTTTCAACCAAAATTTTTCTTTGCAAACTACACACTGGGTGTGGACTAGCATAATCCAGAAAATAGAGTGCGTGCACTTTTCTTCAGTGTGAGAATAGACGTGCCCTCTCCCCCTGTAATGCCCTACAGCAACGGTTCTCAAGCATAGATATGTCGGGGACACCCAGGGGACCCGCCGAAGTGATGGGGGACCCCATGCCAGTGGGGGAAGAGGGGTATGAAATAAGACAACTGATTGCAGTGGGAAAAGAGCATCCTCTACTGTTATAGACAGATGTGAGAAGCACCAAGTAAAAAGATGAATGGATGGATAGATGGTAACGGCTATACCATTTACAACGGGCGGTAGCTTGCGCCACCTCGCTAGGGTCAACAAAAAAGTTATTTAAAAAAAAAAGGGGGGGGGGAGGGGGTTGAGGGTTGAAATGAAGGCTTCACGGACTCCAGAAAGTCTAAATTAATCAATGAACTCCAAACAAAGGGAACCCTAGCAAAGGGAAGCAGCCGTGAGGTCACCTGACGATGCTGTCGACGAACAGGTTGTGGGTGGAGAGCTGGTCGGAGCGTCGGTCAGCGTCCGGGCGTGGTGCCAGCAGGTCCTCCCAGGGGTCGTCGCTCCTCCGCCGGGGCAGCACGTCCATTCCCAAGAGCAGCTCCAGGATGGACACGAGGGCCCCGCACACCCGCAGGGAGCAGCTCGTCTCCCGCAGCGTCACCGCGTGCACCGCCTGCGTCGAAGGTGGCCGGAGACAGACGGTTCAACTAGTGCCCGTATCCGCAGCCTCGCACCCATTTTTCTCCAGGTGGCGGCCACGACGACGATGCCCCATTTCAGTTTCTTCTTTTCTTCTCTTCTTGTCCTTGTTCTTGGTTGCGCTATGGTGCGATTTGTTATGACGCACTCTGGTTTACGGTATGATGCAACTTGTTACGACATGCTTCTGCTTACACTATGATGCAATACCTTAAGATGCGCTCTTGTTTCTTTTGTAATGCGATTTGTTAAGACACACTCATATTTACACTACAAACTAATTTTCTTAAGCTGCACCTTGTTTACACTATGATATAATTTTTTTATTCACTCTTCTTTACACCATGATGCTATTTGTTAAAGGGGAGCTCCGGCATCAATTTAAATGTTTTCAACTAAGCATGTTTTCTGAACGAGTGCAAGAAACTGAGCCCAAATCAGCAAATAAATTTTCCCAAAATTTTTAAAATTTTTAATAGTAAAAATATGATTACTGGTCCACCATCTTGTTGCGACATCAGATGTTGTATAAGCATCAGCACGTGGGCAGCTTGGGCCTGTTTCGCCCAGCATCAGAAGCAGTCAAATTGCCATTCGCGATTGTCCGCGGGAAATAACGGACTCTGATTCATCAAGCTTCTTTGAGCCAAGCAAGGGCCAGCAAACGTCATAAGACTTTCTGCACAAAATTTCAGACAATTCATCATTCACCTTCGATCTGCTGACATCGCCTCTGAGGGGACCATCCATGGTGGCTGCATTTGCAACCAGCCAACATAAGTCCAGACGCTGCTTCAGAAGCAGAATGGTACGGAAGGTTTTGTCTGCTAGCACGGTGCACACTGTTTTCTAGCACGATGCAAACGCTAGGAGCCAACACTCGCTTCGAAATGCTTAAGCCCATTTCTGTCCCAGAGACCTCTCGGTCGTAAACCGATGAGATGTCGCTCTGCCGCATTTCTTGATGGTGTTGTTGCACCCTACGGCACGTCACCAATTCTCCCCATTTTCCGTCGCATGCCGCAAATAGCCTAAACCGGACACAACCCACAACACCAAAGATGCTCACTGCCATTACGACACACAACGCCGTGGAGGAGGGATCGTCGTCTGCTTTCGGATACATCTGACGTCATGAGCGCGCCTGCTCGTTGTTGCCAGTAGAGCGGCGGCCAGTGATACGGAAGTGTATGCGTAAGCTTCTCGAAAAAGAAGGATTATGTCGATTAGATATTTAGTAGACATACTAAGCGTGTATTTAGTGCAAGGGGGAAGTTTTCTCAACATCGGTGACCATCAAAATTTCACCCCAAAACATTTTTAATGCGAAAGCATTAACTGTCTAATGGCATGTCCAACGTCATCAGCTTTGAAACCATGCAAAACGGCACCTTAATGAAACTACGCGTAAAGCTAGCCAACGGCACCTTTTGCACTTCAATCCCATTGGCTGGCACGCATCGACGAGGCTCCCATTGGCCACTGCGCGTCAGTTTGTGTGTTGTCATCCTGACCGTGTTATCACACTGTTGCATTATCAGTGATCAGGGCCGTAACCAGGGGGGGGGGATAGGGGGTTCTGACCCCCCCGAAATTTTTTTCTGGGTATGGCCCTGGTCGGTGCACTGGCAGCCAGCCGATTTTAATCTCCACCTCTGCGACCGCGCAGTGGCGCCGGTCGGCTACCGGGTACCAAACCGGGACCGGTTCGCCGGTTTGCTGTAACTCTCCATTATATGCCACCGATGCACATGATTCATAGGCGAAAATAAGACAATAGACACTTTCAAAATGGCCGGCGTTGTCCCCGAAAACCCCCCCCGAAATTTTGTTCTGGGTACGGCCCTGTCAGTGATCACCACGTTTGTTTTAGTTTGAGCATCATAAAATGTTGTAATGAAAACTATGAAACATGGCCAGTTGGCCATGATATCATAACCCCTATCCCCTATGCTAGCAAAGCGGCTTTGATTAGCATGGCAATAGTGGTGATATATGTATTCATGTTGCCACTGAAAACATTTTCCCCTAATGGTGGGATGACTTCAAAACACGCTGCGTATTCTGCGTCTCCCAACTTTACCCATAGGGTTAAGGATACATTTAAATTGCTGTCCGATGTCACGATGAGTACCACAAAAAAACATGGTCCAATTTCGTTCTCGTCTTCTTCTTCAACCTCTGCCTGGTAGTTCCAATTTCAAGAGAGTGGTATTTGAAATATGTTTTCAAGAAGTCTGGGTAGATGAAGCTTAAGGGAGGATGTGGGGAAGAAAAAAAACTTTTTTGTTTTTAAAGTTATTGGCATGAAACTTGCAGACTAGGTTGGTACAGGGGCCCTAACAACCACTGCAATGTTTCACTCAATTATGCCTGTTGGATTTCGAGAAACACGAGTTTCTATGTTTCTTTGTTTTGCCAATCCCGAGATATTTTTGGAGCGCAGTAGCAAAGTGAAATTAACTGGACAAGTGCTTGAATATATACCAAAGGGGGAGACAGAGCTCTTTTTATAAATTTCCTTCTGGAACGGCTTTAGTGAAAGTTTGAATGTTCATGTTACCAAATTCGCAAATAAATACAAAGACATTTTATAACTTTAAAAAACATTTTACACTTTATTGCAGAAACTGAGATTGTCATGCCCTTCTAGCACTCTCTGGCACCAAAATAAAAAAGACTGCATACAAATCGAGCCACTAGTTAAGAAAATATCAATGGCAGAAACAGTCACGGCTCAAGAAAATGCGTTCCTGAGAAAAAGAGTCCGAAAGTTTGAGGCACGGCAATAGTGTCAGAAGGAACCCGCAGCATAGTCTTGTGTGCTGCGTTGCAACGTCCTCTTCTGGCGTGCTTCGGTTTTTGCACTGTGGCGTTTGGTGGCCTTGTGTAAGCGGAGGGAGTCCTTCTCCGAAGCCCGCCGGAGAGCCAGGTGCGCAGGCTGCAGGTTCATGGCACTGGACATCTCTAGGTGTGCCCTAGCGCACCCAGCATTAAACCTGACGACTGCCTCGTGCAGCGCAGTCTGTACCGACACCAGTGAGGCGTGCTGCTCCTTCGGCATCAAGGCCCACAATACGGAGTGGAAACTCTCTGCAGCATTTTGCGTCTTGGCTCCCAAGCAGCGTTCAAGAAGCGATGTCTGCGACAGACGCTCATATACAGGCAACATGGCTTCTGCAACGTAGTTGGGGAGGCTGTACTTGTGTTTGGGTTGTGGCTGTCCCTTTGCCTCGGCGACCTTGTTCCGGCACCAAGACTCCGGCCCTCCTGGACAAAGGTTGTGCTTTGGATCTTCATCCGTCGAAGTCACATGGTAATATGTGGCCATCACGGCTCGCTTCATGGCTTCCACATCGTTACTATGGCTTCTGATGGCCCATCCGTATTACCCAGTCAGCCTCTCAATGAGCACCTTTGTGAGGCGGCCCTTTCCTCCAAGAGGCTTGTTGCTGTTCTGCAAGAGCTTCCGCAGAGCAGTCCCCATACGCTTTTGTACATGGTTGAGGCACTCCTCTTTCTTTATGGGGAGAAACCCGTAGGTCTTGTCTTCAACTAGAGCACAGAAAGTTCTGCTGTCCCCGTCAGATATTAGTGTTGTGTAGCGCAAGTCACGTTTCTCCAGAGAGCGGCCAAAAATGGCGAGTGCCGCATCAACCTCCATTCTTCCCGAGTTTGCGTCGGTGTTTTTCTGACACTCGTGGTTCTGATGCCACTCAGAGTACCTCTCTTCTCCCGGCTTGGGTCCAGTCTGGCAGCCGTGACACAGATTGGAGAGAACCTCAGCATCTAGGATGAGGCCAGTGTCATACTCGATCACGCTCCCGACACCAACATGGGAGCTGTAGCCTCTCTTGAGCCATGTGCCATCGTAGACGACAGCAACATCTTTGGTGAAGTTGGGGTTCATTTCCCTGTATGTGCTTTTCACAGCAGCGGCTGACTCAGTGTAGATCTTCTCAGCAGTAGCTGCAGCCGACTTACTAACGATGTTTTTCAAGTGATCTTGGTAGGTCTTGTGGTGGAGCCCTCTATGTGATACATTCATTACTGCCCAGAAATCATTCAGGGCAGTCTGACCCTTGCCAATGCTTCTGATTGCCGAAATCGCTCTCAAATTCACATCAAATGCGTTGGAGTCGACCTTGCGCGGAGATGACCACGTGTGAGTCATGACTTCGCAGACGGGGCACACAAGTTCAAGCTTGACGGCAAGTCCCAGAGCGGTCGATTCCTGAATTCTTACGCCCGTCGCCGAACAGCTTTGGCAGACTGTATAGCCAAGAAGCTCATTTATAGCGTCAAGCTGCACAATCGTGAACTTCGCCGATGAGCTTGTCGCGATAGCGGGGGCTTGCTGAAGCAGCTCAAACTTCCTTTGCGTCGCGGAAACGGAGGCAAGCTTCGCACGGACGGCATTGCGATGTTCGGTTGTCGCATCAGCTTCCTCCTGTGACACGTACTGCGTCTCTAGATGAACAGTCGTGTTCTCTATCGTGGTTTGAGACGCACAAAAAACGATGTTTTCTTCGGCGGCGGCAGTCGATGAACACGCAGGCGCGGTGATCTCGGGCTCACTCCTCGCGGCGATCGCCGGGTCGAGGCTCGATTTCGCCGCTCTGACTTGTTTCATCCGGCGCTTACACGCTCCATACGCATATCGAGTCTTGCTCTTATACTTGCTCCTCCACATCGCAGAAAAAGAAGCGTGAAAAATACGCGACGCGATCGATCGAAAAATGTAAACAAAGGAGACGAGAGCAATGGAGGAAACTTGCGGATAGCAGACGACAAAAAGCGGAGCGAACAAGGAGGAACGCCGGAGAAACCGAGCGCGGAGAAAGAGAACGAGCGAGCGGGAGAGGAGGAACTTGCTCGGAACTGTCCGGAGCCTCTCGGCGCCAATAGTACAGCCCGATTTTCCGAACGCGCGCATCGGCCAATCACGGCGCCGCGCTCCTTTGGCGGGAAACCTCACGAAACGGCGTTGCCTCGAGCGTGACGCCAGTTTGAAAGGTTGCGAAAGAGAGAGCAAGAATTCACGAACAAAACAAGACCAAGATGGCTGCCGTCCGGTAAACGGTTCGGAAACTAGGCGCGCGCGAATCTGAACTCGATTTGGTTGATCGATCAGCATTTCGCGACCGCGGAAGCATCGAAAATGCGTTATTATAGGTATTTATTTGGCGTTTTGGGATTCAATACGTACAGCAGAGATGGAAAAAGGCATGAACAATCCAAATATTCAATTTTTGAAAAAGTGATTTTTTCGCGATTTTTTGCTTTTCAAGACCCGCGTCCTCCCTTAAGATACCACAACAACGAACATACTTTCCGGGTCAAACTATGGACATTTACCCATTTTCAGGAAAAGCGGTCAAAGGTCGTTGCAGTACCTTGAGGACGACGAAAAGGTTGATACGTCCGTCCAGAGTGATGTAGTGGGTGGACCCAGAGGCCTCGTTGAAGTCGTCGATGCTGTACAAGATGTTCGAGTCCGTCTGGCTGCGTGTGATGGACAGCTGGTGGCAGGGGGGCACAAACACCGCACTGGGCGGAGTCTCTTCCTTTGGGCTCTCTGCAGAGTCCTGCCGAAAGGGGAGAATTGGGCGGTATGGAATGCCAAACACTGTTCATAGACTAAAGTCATCGGATCCTGGGAAAGCGGTGCCATTGCTTTCCCTGCCTGCTAGCAGAACACACAGATGCTGACATTCAGAAGACCAAAACCTCGCAAGATAATTGGCTAATCGGTATCTGGTGCCGTGGCAATCGCCATTTCGGCCCCTTCAAGTCTTTGAAACCAGTTGCACCAAGTTCGCACTGAAGCACCATCGTACTGAAAGCATTCCTCGCCATCACAAGCGTCTTTGGCACTGTGTGTGCAATCAACTTATCAATCATGCTTATTTCCACGGAACTCTTAGAACTGTATTATTTTTCTCCGTATTTTGAGACAAAAAAAAATATATTTTTAAAGCCGCCAAAGCATTGATGCCACACGTGGTGGCAAGGCAAAGACATTCTCTTCTTTCACCAATGCGTGGATAACAAAATCTTGGTATACAAGGAATGTCTTTATAAAGACAATTCTTGTAAGCTTTTGCACAACCACACGTGGTGGGGGTGCAAAAACATTCTCGAATCCGTTCACCTGTGTGTGGATAACAAAAATTTCGGTATGCAAGAATTGTCTTTATAAAGCAACTCAATTGTCACCGCAAATTTGGATCGGCTCACCAAGAATGGAGAGGTTAGAGAGAAACTGCTCATTCCGTGGATCAAAATGGCAACTAAACGGCCAGCTTGGTGCCACATTTCCAGAAAGCCAAGTTTGCGGGTTTTACGTGTCAAACCGACGAAGGGCATCTGGCACAGCCCGGCAGAGGACTGAGGATTAATTTGGACCATTCAGGGATCTTTACATGCACAACCGAAATCCCAGTCACATGAAGCCTTCTCCGCAATGAGCCTCCATCAGATTGTGGACCCCCTGGCCGGGATTTGAACCTGCCAACCGGGAATCCGTAGTCCCGGCCCCCCGGCCGGAGGGAGGAGCCCCCCACCTGGTTGATGAAAAACTGGATGGAGGCGACGGGCGAGTGCTCCGTGACCGTGATGATGGGGTTGGGCACGCTGTGTGTGTGCACGGCCGGCAGCTTGCGCGCCGCCTCCGTGCCCCCCTTGGGTGCGGGGAGTGCTGCGGAAGGAGCCGCCTCCTCCTCGGGCCCTGGGGGGGCGGGCTCCTCGATGTGGATGCTGGGCAGGCTCTTGCCCCGGACCATCTCGCCCCTGGGAAATGCGTCCGTCGGCCCCCCCATGTCCCTGAGCAGGCCCAGCGCGGACTTGGGGCGCTGCAAGGGAGGCGCGGGCACGCGGCCCACGCGCTCAAAGGTCGACGGCGGCGGCGGTGGCGGTGGCGCCGCCTCGGGCGGTAGAGGCTGCGACTCGACCGCGGCGAGTGCGGGGCCCTCGGGCGGGGCGTCGGGGGCCGGGGCGGGTCGGTGCAGCGCCACGTCGTCGTCGTCGCGTCCCAGGCGGTCCAGGATGCGCTCCGAGAGGCGCAGCCTTTCCTCCACGAAGGCGCGCAGGTCTCCCCGGTTCAGACGCCGGTGCCTGAGACGGGGGTGGCCAGGGATGTTGTGAACTCCCGCCAAAAAGCGGCAAAAGTTGCGTGAATCGTTTGGAAGCTGCCATGCAACGAGGACAACAAAGTATTTTTTACAGTGACAACTGTTATAGAGGCTTTCCGGCTGCATCAGTGTCACATGACCGTGTAGCTCAAACGGACAATGAAGGCAATTTCGGATATTTTTTTGACGAATGAACTGGGTTCCAGGCACGTCTCAGGCCACGTTGCCCTAATTTCAGCCAAAACCGGCGCTTGTGTGCCGTGCAAATCAATTAAACAGTCGCAGTAATAATCATACCGGGATCGACTGGGGCGATGCCCCGAGAGTTGCGGGAGAGGCCAGAAGAAGCGGAGCTCACGTGACCGATGCGGGGCCAAGAAGTGCAACATCACAAGAGACGCGTCAACGATTGGTTGGAACGAGAGACATGCCCTCGGTCACGTTTTGGTTCGCAGTTCGCAGTTTTTCTAATTTTCGCTTTAATAACCATGAAAAGTATAAATCGGACCGGAGTTGATTACTAAACCGTAAATAAAACAGCACACTTATTTTTTTTCTTTGCTACGCTGGACGCGAAACGGACAACAAGCAAATATGCTCAAACGAAATAAATGAAAAAGAACACAGAGCAGAGCACGCTGGAGATGTCAATGTTGTGTTTACTTTGGGAACATGGTACTCGAAGGATTCTGCAAAGTGGTAGTCATGCCAAATTTATGCGCCGTAGATGGCAGTTCAAACGCTCGACTGAAGATGTACCAGTAATCGTTCTTGTTCTTTGACGACGAAATGAGTGGACGTCCGACTCTGGTAAAAACAAAAATCGTGCTGTTTACTTTCTCCTTCTTGGGGAGCGTCCCCTGCGGAGGAACCGGTTCCTGGGTCGCTGCCGCTTTCCCCTCGGCATTTCCCCCGCGTCCCTGTTGGACAGGGACAGGGCCTGTCCTTCAGCAACGCGCCGCTCTTGTCTCGCCCGTGCGAATGTTGCTCACAGCTTTGCTGCTCAAAGCCAGCGGACCGCTTGTTGTCGGCTGGGCGGTCACCGTCGGCCTCGGGTGATAACGAAGAACGCCAGACACATACTCCCGTTCCGTTCGTGTTAGGTCACTGAACGGAAGCCCGAACCAAACTCGCTCACAAGAGAGGCATTATCGTCCATGTAGAAAGATCCGACGAAACGATCGCGCCACCGCGGTGCATCAGCTACGACGGTAACCAGTCTCGATCTCTTAAATACTACTGATACCGACTATTCACGCTTGGTGTCACTCCCTACGTCACCTACGTTTTTGGAGGCCCAGAAATGAGAATGGAGATAGTTTAGTTTCGGTTTCTTCAGTTCTTTTGTAGGCACAGAAATACGTGTCACAAATGTCTACAAAAAACTGGGCAGCGTGCTAGGTTCCCAAAAAGCCTAAAAACACCATTTAAAAAAATTAAATAAAATCGCCATCATTGTCCCTTTAACGTCACACTGCACCGTGACCACATACCATGTCACAATGTCGCGTGAGCACGCAACAAAATGTCACAGTGTCACGTGACCACTTAACTTGACGTCACGGTGTCGAGTTTCAATATAACTTGATGCCATAGTGTCATATTACACTGTGACATCAGGACATCACATGACATTGTGGTGTTTGGTGACATTGTGCGACATCAGTGTCACATTACACACAACGAAGCAACTGATATGACGTGATCACAGGATTGGTGTCACGGGACTACCGTCTGCTAAATTCGGAAGGTTGGCCTCACGAGATTGTTGTCACGGGACTACCACCTGCTAAAGCGGTAAGGGTGCAGCGACCACGGTGGCAACGCTCCCATTCGCCCCTACTTTTCGTCAGAACTTTCTGCGATCGACCACCGGGATGGCAACGTCCTACGTTCCCGTTCCCGTGACGCAATTTGCTGCCGCTTCAGGCCGCTGGACGGCATGGGACGCTAAACGCACCAGTCGGAGACGCGTCCCAAAAACCATAATACCGGCAGGAGAGGGAGCCCTCACCCAACACGTCCTAGATGACGGAACCTTAGTGCTAATTTTCTGTGTCCCCTAGAAAAGGCCAATGTAGAGCGCAGACTGGAGTGCTGCATTGGTGTTCAGTCGAGAGTTGTGTTCTATCAACAGTGACGCAAGTCCTAGCTGAACGTTGACGCTGCACTTGTGCCCAATCTGTACCCAGCATTGGCATTCTCCGAGTGAGGCTGACAATTCAGCACTATGGCTCTGTTGTTTAGGATGGAGGTTCTCAACTCTGCAATGTAAATGGCAGCCGAGCAACCCTTCCTGTTCTCGGCACTGATGAGATGAGGCGATGCAGGAGCCTGCAGACCTTGTAGGCAATGATGCACATCCTAGGGAGTGTGTGGTTCGTAGTTATGCATATATGGATGGCTCAGATCTGTCTAGATAGCGTATAAACTGGAAAGACACTTTACTTGGTGCGAGGACAGTCGAGGAAATATGGAGGCTAGGGGGAGCCTACAAGGGTGTTCTGGTGATCCCCTGGTTTCTTAAAAGGAGCACTAAAGTGGATATGATATTCAGTATGTCTTTTTTTATAGCGGAAACTGAATTAATGCCCCCTATCATCTCAGAAATCCCAAAAACGAAATCATGCGGGACCCCCTTTCTGAGACAGGCCTCAGAAAAGAGGCACGTCGGGATGTTTGGTTGTGTTTTTAAAACGAAAAAATGGTCACACATGATTGTAATGCTGTTTTTTTTAAGACACTCGGAAAGCATTGATTGAGTTTGCATCGTATAGCATGATTGTAAGTCTGTTTTTTTTTAAGACCCTCGGGGAGCATAGATTGAGTTTGCATCGTGAAAAAAACTATTTTAAAATTCCCATCCGAGAACCTCAGAACTGGGAGGTGTCGGCTCACCGGCGCAGGTCGGGGGAGGGCATGTCGCGGTGGGGGAGGGGCTGCTGCCTCAGCTCCTGCATGCTGGCGTGGTGGCTTGGGGGTCCGCAGGGGGGACCCAGGGGCGGCAGGGGCCGCGCCGCAACGGGGGACGGCTGCGGGGGTTGTTTGGGGGAGGGCGGGGGGGGCGCCTCCGCCCGGGCCACGGGCAGCGAGCTGCTGCGTCTGCGCGGACGCACCTCCCGGGACTGCTCTTCTGCCACGGCACGCAGTCTGCACGCCGCAAGAGAACGGGCTTGGTCCAGCGGAACGCAGGAGTATACAAGGAGGTGCCGCATCTCAGGGACAATTTACCTCCGCCATTTATCTCGGATGAAGCCATTTATCGTGGCTAAGACCATTTTCTCTTGGCCATTTACCTCAGCTGAAGTCCATTTTATGTTGGAACAAGACCTCTTATCTCGTGTAAACATTTCATCATGGCTACAGGACAATTTATTTTGGTCAAGTATCTTTGATCAAGGCCATTCTATCTTTGCAGGTCATTTATCTTGACCGAAGGCCATTTTATCTTGGCTGAAGGCCTTTTATCTCGGGTGAAGTCATTTCATGATGGCCATTTATCCCTGCTGAAGGCCTTCTATCTCAGCCATTTATGTCTTCCGAAGGCTTTTATTTCAGTATTTTATCTTGGCTGAAGGATTCCTGCCATTTATCTTAGCTGAAGGCCTTTCATCTTGACTAAAAGCCTTTTATCTCGGCTGAAGGCCATTTTACCGCAGCCATTCGTTTCGGAAGAAGGCCTTTTATCTCGGCTGAGGGAATTTTATATCTGCCATTTATTTCGCCCAAAAGCCTTTTACCTCGGCCGAAGGACATTTTATCTTGGCCATTTATCTCAGAGAACAGCCTTTTAACCCTGAAGGCCATTTATCTTGGTTGAAAACCATTTTATCTCGACTGAAGGTAATTTTATCTCTGCCATTTACCTTTGATAAAGGCCATTTATCTAAGTTAAAGGCAATTTTATTTCTGCTATTTATCTCAGCTGATGTCTACTTTACTCTAGGATCAGAAGAGACAATTAAATGTTTTTCAACCGCTTCTAATAATGTTTCTAATAACTAATACCAAAACATATTGCCAGACTTACAAAACCAAAAAAACAAATATTCGAGAAAATTGTCTGCCATAATTTTCACTCCTCAATGGCATTTGCAATGTAGGAACTGAGCAAGAAGGCCAATAGTCGGTGATGAGTTAGGAACCCAGCAGAAACTCTGCCTCCAGTACACGCTCGTTGCCTTACACCGGGCCTTGGCTGCATGTGCAACCAAGTGTTTGGCTTCAAGGTTGCAATAATACTAAGAAAAAAGCATAGCATTTACCATGTTTTCTGTAATGTCACGATACAGTGGAACCCTGATTATACGACTTTTGCGGGACCGCGCGAAAGCGTTGTATAATCCATGACATATCATCCGAAAAAACAATAATTCTGGATGCAGTGATCGGCCTTGCGTGAAAAAGGACAAGCGGAGGATTTAAATGATGTCTAAGCTCATAATCTGCTGTACTTTAAAGAAGCAAAAGCTGTAAAAACAAATTGAAATGCAACCGTAAAATTCTGTGGTAAAGGCGCGAGTAGTAACTTCATTCTCACCTCAAAAGAAATCAGTAATCGCCTGTTGGACTTTCTTTCGGTCGCGCAACATCAGCTTTCTTTCGAAGGCTGCAAGCTTGAAAAAAAGTTGTCACGCTTTCCGAAATCAAGGCCATCGGGGGTACGAACAAACTGTCACGCTTTCTGAAAGCGAGAACGGCAGAAACCAGCGAAAGCGTGCTCAATCCTGGGAAAACAAGAAGTTGGAGAAAGTGGTGTGCAGAGGAGTGAGAGTAAATCAGAGATGAGACAATGATGGGATGGACGGAGCACGGACGCAACGCGAAAACGCCGAGACATTTCACAACCCGGGGAGGAGAAGAGAAAGCGCTGTCTCCCAGTTCCTCCCGGCACTGCAGCTGTCTCGGTTTGCTGGTGGCGTGTTTTTGGACCCTCTGAAACTGCGCGCAGAACTCTTCCGCATTGCCGGGCTGCCACCCTCCCTTCTCACGCAGGCATCGAATTTGTTGCGTGTTTCTTACCGGAACATCGTCTGACACGGGATGCGTAGAATCACGCGTCGTGTAAACCAAACCAAACTTTTAATACATTTCAATGGGGAGTTCGTCAGGACTGGGCAAATTCGTCGTAAAGTGCAAAATGTTGCATAAACCGTGGACGCATAATCAAGGTTCCACTGTACCATGAGATGTCACGTCTCATTACCTCAAAATGGTAGTTATATCATGGTGTCACGTGACTAGGGAAAGCATGTCGTCACGTGACCTTACGTCATATGGCCATGTGACATTGCAGCGTCACACTCCATCGTGATGCAAGTGTAACGTAATGTTACGACGTCACGTAACATTACACTTTCATGCGACGTCACAGTGTCACATTAAGTTACGATGTTATGTAATGTCGGCAGCATGATGGTCGTTGCCGCTAAATTTAGCAAGAAGCGTCCCTTTCACCGAGTCTCATGCCCTCTCTCCTGCATCGAGGCTACACCCCATGGGCACGAAAACGCTTAGAACTGGCGCTATAAATGGTACGCATTGAATCGGAGACGCCGGTCTCGGCTTCCGCAACCCCCGTTCGAGAGACGAGTGTGCAGCCCGACAGAGACGTGAGCGAGAGGTAGGGCACCGGTTGAGGAGGAACTGGAGTGCCCAGTGGACGCCCTCCTCCAGCCACTGGGAGATGAAGAGACAGCGCAGCACAGAGACGTCCAGGTAGGTGGCCATGCAGGGGTCCGCCAGGATCGCCTCCTTGCGGTCGGCAGAACGCTCGGGACGTGCGCCCAGCTCGCCCTGCACAAGACCCCGAGGTCACGCTAGAGTCACCATACTCAGTTCACCCCTAAGCTGAATGTACGGCGGTGCGACGCACTTACCGGGCAAATAAAACGCCTCCTTTTCATCACCTTGTATCGTACTGTCAAGTCGAGGGTAAACAGATTATTGAAAACTAGGCTCAGAGTATCGGCATTCTTTTCCCTCATCGTCCGATGCCGCCACGATAGTCATTCATCCATTCGCGTCGCATGACATTTGTTTATGTGCCAGTGGCGCACGTGTTTGGTGCCTCGAGCCACACAGGCACCGTTTGCGAGTTATCGTTCTCAGATGCACCTTTTTGAGCGGTACGTACAGTCTTTGGAGATCACCGCGATACTGCTTTGCTTCGTTGCGAACTCTTTTAGTGAGCAGGATGACAAAAAACGCTTTTTGCATCTACCGTCAGGCACGTCGGCAAAAAGTTGGTGACAAGCAGCAGTGTTGATCATATGCACCAATATGGCGGATTTGTCGTTATACTCTAAAGCGGGGCTCGGCAACTGGTGACCCGCAAAGCAATACCAAACCGCCCCTGGCATGCTACCAGAGAAGCCCCCTCCCCACAGACATGGTTTTGCAAATCGGACTAATAACTCCAAGACAGCATGCCTGGGGTCAGTATCCCTTTCACGTCCCTTATGTGTCATCTATCAGCAATTGTTGTGCACCAAGGTGAAGCAAATCACAGCTTGTACCATCATGAATTTCAACCATTTTTGTCACACACGGTGTCTCACTGTGGTTCAGTTGTACGCACGAGTTCGAATGACAAAAAAGCGAGAGTTTAGCCGCTCTGCCGAGCTTCATAAAAATGTTGCCGTTTTTTCTGTGAAAAGAAGTCTTTTCAGGATCTCGCTGATCCTCACCCAGGGTGTGCGACTTGAAGAGCCAAGGCGAGGACACTCTCAAATGTGAATATTTTCAAGCCGAAGCTCGAGCTCTTGCAAAATAAGGAGTCTCTATCAACGAGGGATATCTCCCTCATTTCCTTTTGTGAAGAATCTTTGTAGAAGAAACAAACACACCACTTCACAAAGAGTGTATCTGCAAGACCGTACCTGACTTGAACAGAGAGTTGGAAGTCGGGTTTGCTGATTTTCAAGAGTGCTCGAACGACACTCGCATTTTCAATAATGTATTTATAGCAGACCACGGCCAGGTTGAGAAGATTTACAACATAAAACTTGCTGATCACCGAACAGGCATTATGCCGACGAATGTATATGCAGTGAACTAATTCCTTAACTTTTAGGTCAGTTCCTTTGAGTCAAGGTTTTCAAGTATATGAAAGTTTGCTGCAGCCTTCATCTGAGCGTCTGCTAGAGCATGTATAACTGCAAACAGGCCTTCTCAGAACGAAAACCATAAAATCAAGCATGCAATTTAGAATGACAGATAAGTACCTCCACAAAGTTTTACACAACTTTCAGTGGGTAATATGAATGTTCAAATTCTGGAAAGCAATACAGTCGAACTCGGACATACTGAATTCAAAGGGGATAGTAAAATAGATAGATATATCGATAATTTGATATACAAAAATATGTTAACTTAAGCTCCAGTTGAAATTTCTGCGTATCTCTGCTAATACCGAAGGCCATGACAAACGGGACCTTACCAAATAAAGCAGTTAAGAACCGCCAAACACAGTAGAGCTTAGTTGGTAAAAATCACAAATACCACCGCGTTTACGCGACGGTGTTTGCTATTGTTTATGCCTGGCCATGACCTCCACACAGCACCGGCAAACAACAAAAAAATAATTTAAAAAATAAATTTAAAAAATGAAAAAAGCGAGCTGCAAAAATACAATGCTCTCGATTCATAGAATAAAGTTAAGCAAGTAACAGAAAAAAAACCTTACTATAAAGTCAGGCAGAAAAAAAAGGCAAAGAAAGAAAAAACGGGCCAAGCAAAAGGTAAACAAAGATATAAGGCGTTCAAAGTGGGATTGCTCGACCGTTGTTGTCAACACACTCATCTTGATGAAGACTTTTTTTTTTTTTTTTTTTCTTGCTTATTTTATTTTTGGGTAAAGGAGTCTCGCAGCGACAGTGGTGTTCGGGGAAAGAGCGCACGCTACTGTTCCAACAGCGGGCACTCGCTGCTCTCCCTACGCGCGTGCGTGCCCTTCCCCTTGTTTTTGCCATCCTCCACTTTTTTTTACGGTTGCTCTTTTTTTTCACAACTGCTCCTTGGTTGCGTGTCCCCGTGCACGTATGCTGGCTTGGCGGTCTGCCAGCCTTGCAACGCGAGCTGTGTGCTTATGTGCTCGCCACCAGCGCAATCCGACCACAGGAGAAGCGAGGGGCGGCGGTACTTCGTTCGCTATATCGAGTGTCCCCGCCATGGGAGTTGGATACAGAAAAACAACGCTCCTATAGTATTACATGTGATTTTCAAGGGCACAATTGGAGTGTTCGATAGAAACAATAATTATAAATACTCGGGTGAGATATAACCGGGCTCGACTGTATTGAACACCAAAAAACTTACTGAGAGGTGGTCTCGAGCCATGTCCCGTCCATAGAGTTATTATAATGTATGCTAGAGGTTCAACTGGCGCAAGTGTCTATGCAACTTTCTGGATGTTAATTGAAGCACACAGGAACCAGTCTACTTTTGTGGTACTCCTGTGCTATCCTATGGAAAAATGTGTGTGCATTTTGTCTCTTTGGCGGAAAATAACATACCGTAAAATCCCGTAAGGGCGCTTTCCCCCGAGAGATCGCCTATCCTGTTTTTCTGGCTAAATATTTGTAACATAAAAATTCCAATACATCGCCCACCCCCCGATTTCCGTTGGACGTCAAGCGATGTTTGACGGGAATCGCGCATCAACGGCGCGATCTGCGGTACCGGTGCGTCCGAGAAGCAAGTTCCATAGCGGGTTCCCACGTTTTTGTCTACGAGCTGCACGCATGATATCGGCTCCCGTAACATGCTAGTTGTTCCCGTCTGTATATTGCACTGTGAAATGCGAATCTGCTGCTTTCGCGATTTGCGGTATCCGTTTCCGAGTTCGTAACGGATTTCCGTGCTTTTGTCCGTGATCTGCGCACACGATATCGATTTTTAGCTATAACACGCACGAGTTGTTCCCACGCATATATTGCATCGTGAAATGCGATTCTGTTGCGTCTGCGATTTGCGGAATTTGTTTCTGTGCCATGCGAGTTTGTAGCGTACTCCCGTGTTTTTGTTCGCGATATGCGCGCGCGATATCAGTTTCCGTGACAGGTAAGATTGTAGCAGGTTCTCGCAACTTTATTGCACCATGAAACTTGAATCTGCTGCGTCCGCGATCTGCGGTATCCTTTCCCGTGACACAGGAGTTTGTAGCGAATTCTTGCGTGTTTATCGCATTGTGACACGTGCTTTGCCGTGTCTGCAATATCAGTTCCCGCGTCACATGGTTTGTAGCGGGTGCCCCGGCGCTTATCATTAATGTTTGATAGAGTTTTGCTGTGGCATCCCCAAAGATAGCCCACCCCATGTTTCTCACCATTTATCTCTTCGTTTTGGGATTTGACGGTAGGTAACTTTTGTTATTAGCGTCGTCCCGCATAGTATGTACCTTTATTAACATTGTAAAGGTGTAATTTTACACTTTTACAATGTTAATAGAGGTACATAGACTCGGCGCTTAGCGGTGTCCGCATGATTGGCGTGACACGCTTGCACAGGGCGCATCTTGGGAGCCGACCGGCCATCTTGCCAAGGTCCCTCTGTTAACGCCCTCTCCCGCATCAACCGTCATCGTCTCACCATTTGTGATTAGTGTCTCTCGGAGTTTCGTTCAGACTACAGACAATGAGTGCAGTTGTGCCAACGTTGCCAAATTTCGTAGACACCAAAACGTGGTGAAGGGTGTGGTGCAGACGACACCTGCGCGTGACACACTCCCGCCCCAATTACGCTCGCCATTGTGCAGAGGATCACGTGACATCTCATATTACGCAATAGCCACATTCCTGGCGGCCTGAAGCCAATGTTGCCGGACGGAGCCGAAGTTTCAAATTCAATTTCTATTTTTCACGAAGCAAATACAGTAATACCTCATTAACTCGAAGTCATAAAAACCGTAAAAAATTCGAGATAAGCGGAATTTCGAGATAAGCAAAGTACCGCAATTTTTACCTCTGACCGCGCAATGTGCTAAATAAAACTTCTAAGAATCCCGGCAGCAGCACAGGTTCTATTAAAGAAAGGGAAAATAGAGCCTGTTTGGGGTGCGCCATGTTCACAGTCAATCAAGTCACGAGCCAACATCAGAAAACTCACAACCGATGACCGAATTGAACACTTGACCCTTGCTCGTTTGGCGCCCCGAGAGGATCGAAACACCCGGGAAAAAATTGGAGGGACAAGCAATAAAGACCAGCAACACTCTCGAAACGAACGAGACACCTCCGACACCTCCGCGAAACACAAGACTGAGGAGATGACGACCAGGCCGAGAAGGTAAGAGAAGAGTCATTCCATGCCAAACGTCCCAGGCGTGATGCTCGACCATTGCCGATTCCTTTGAAAAAAATCACAGCGGTTCTTTATGTGTTGAATAGTCACTTGGCTAAATATTTTCGTAAACAAAAATATTTTGTCCGCGCTAGTGCTGCTTGAAATTCCCGAAAAGGCGCGAAACTAGGCACAAGTAAAAAAATTGCCAAAAGTACAGATCCTTAGTTATCAACGCACAATTTTTTCGGTCCAATTCTACTTGCATTATTGCTTGATATGAGGCCAATTTTTAATAATATAGTTGTTTTTTTGTTTGTTTTTAATTGAAGACAAAATGGTGAATTTGTGCCGTTTTCGGGATTTTTATTGTTTAAATTTGTGAGTCTGTATACCCGTACTAGGAGTGTTTTCTGCTTCTATTGTAGATATACGTTTTGTATAAAATAGCTTGCTACCGTTAACAAAACGGTAGCAAGCTGTGTTTATGTGCTGTGTGGAGAAGCTGCCGCATG